CTTGGCACTCCTTGCTGAGTCAAAAACAGGCAGGGACAAGCTCAGCCTAGAGGAAGTTTCTCGTACTTTCCTGCCAGCCTCCTCCATTGGAAGCTCCATGATGAAATCCTTGAGCAAATGTTCAAGGCACACTTTATAGGCCAGTATAATGGATGATTAAATCTTTAACAGGAAAACTTCTTAAAATAGGGTGAGGCAAAAGAGTGAGTCGGCATACTCTCCCCGGATTTATTTCCATATGCATATGTGTATATATGTGTACACACGTCCAGGGGAGAGTCCTCTGGAAGGGGTAGCATAACTCCATGCTGTTCATGAACACATTTTTATTCAGATCGTAAAAAGGAACCAATACTGCGACCACACTGCTTAAGCTTTGATGGGGCCTAGTATTAACTCTCTTTTGGACTGAAGAGAAGTCATCAGATAAAAATCAAACGTTTGTGGTGAAGCAGCTAAACATTATTTTTGGGAGGAAGGGTAATGCCAGTGTTTACAAATGCAAACTTACCGAGTAAAAATGCATCTCAGAGAACGTAAGTTTAGAATATAGCACACGGCTTTCCCAATGGAGAAGAGGACAAAGTGAGTGGTGAGTGGGGATTTAGCTGAAATCATACATTCTATTTCAGAGCGAGAAAGACAAGCGATAGAGACAGAGAGCGGGAGAAAAGAAATATAGTGGAATACTACCATCTAATCTATATTGTGGTAGCTGGTGCTTGTTACCTCAATTTTCTGTATGCAAGAATATGAAGACTTGTAGAGCTAAGTGAAATTCTTCACAGCTACACAATTAATGACTTCATAGGAAATGGTAATTGGGAAGAAGTGCTTGGTTGATGGAAAGAGTATGCCTTTAAAGGGTGGAACATATCCCTGGCTACTTCCTATCTCTTCAGAGTCCCTGCATCCACCAGGGGACTGTGGCTCACACTTGTTATCCTAACTACTTGAAAGGTGGAGATCTGAGGATGGCGGTTTAAAGCCAGCCTGAGCAGGGAATTAGCTATCAAAAAGCCAGAAGTGGAGCTGTGGTTCAAGTGGTACAGTGCTAGCCTTGAGCACAAAAGCTCAGGGGCAGATCCAGGCCCTGGGTTCAAGTCTCAGGCATTCCTCTGCCATAGTCTTTGACTATGATGTTTCAGCGTTGCCTGAAGCCTAAAGCAATGCAGCCAGTCAACTCATGGTCTGACATCTCTGACACTGTAAGCCAAAGTAAATCTGTTTTCCATTGCAGTTTTTTTTCCCCAACTATTTTTGTTACATCCTGAAAAAGGCTAACATGCTTGTTAGTATCCAGGTACATCAACACAGGGATTCTAGGAGAAATGACTCAGATAGTATAACCTCATTCTGAAAATAAGAAGCATCTGCTAATAATCAGGACAGGTGCATATATTTGTAAAATAGACTATGCACATACACAATTCCACGCCCTGTTTATTATACAGCTTTTGAGTAGAAAAGTACGCAAAGAAGTCACGTTCAAATCCACTCAGCATTGTACCTACATCAGTTGTCCTCCAAAAGAGATGTTTTTGCCCACCTAGGGGTCATTTGATAATGTCCAAAGACACTTTGTTCGCATGGTTGTTGAAATGTTAATGAGGAGAGGTCAGAGTTGCAATGCACCAGATGCCCTCTCATAACAAAGAATTTTCTGACCCTAATTGCCAATAGTGAAGAGTATGAGAAACTCTGAAGTGGGAGCAAGTGTCATTCATCCCTCCTGGCCTCAGCTGGCACAGGTACTTAGTCAATTACCACAGAGAAGGAAGTACAACTGACAAATCCTGATGAGAGAGGAGAGCAACCTTTTCCTGGGCCTACATTTTAGAGGAAAAAGGCATTTGAAACCCCGTCTGTAAACTCAAAGGTTTATGGCTATCCTACGTGGGGAAGGCTATTAGGAGCTAGACTAGGGGAAAGCTTTGGAGAAGAAATACTTCATGACAGTCTCTTCTTTCTCTCTTCCTGTCCTTCTGATTAAACATTTCTAAAACAAATAATATTATCTATAAATAGCTGGAACAATGGAAGCACTTAATGTCTTAGTGAATGGGCCAAAGGAATAAGGGCTGTCTATGACGTTCTGTAAACACACTTCCTTACAATGTGATTGGATGTTTCATAAATATATGCTGATTGTGGGAAACAATGTAGCTCTAGATAAAGTTGAATAATCACCAACTCCTTTATTTTTATATTTGGACTTGCTCTGCTTTAAATACCTTATATACTTGCTTATATATATATATTTATATATATAACATATATATGTTATATTATATATATATGTTTCCCACTAAGTTTAAAACTTGTTCACATAGACAAAATTGGGCAAGACTATCTAACTAACATTAAGTTGTTTCACTTCTAAATTGTTATGAACTATAGGGTAGGATTGGTTTTGAGTAGGTGGAGTCACTATGTGGAGAAGAGACATAAAGAAGCCCATAAATTTATCACAGAGTTAATGCTATGTTAGCACCAAGAACTGCCTTGAGCCACAAAACACAAGAGCAATGGAAGGGAACAGGGCCAGTACAAACAAAACCTGTTTATCTCTTAATGCTAGTTTTTAAATATCCATAATCCAGCCATGTCAGTATTGATCACATGTGATTTTTTAAAATTACCATCACAGTTTGACCGACACATAAACACGATATTTACATATGTCTTACAGACACATGTGCTTTAAAAAAAAAAGTGCTGGATATAATGGCCTTTGTTCCCCCAAGCTTTCTTTCCTCCTTCTTTGACAGACTTTTCCTGCTCAGTGATAGATTTCACCATTGCCATCCCCCGATCGTGTCTCCTTATCTCCTTGTTACCAGCAAGTACACACCATCAATGAGAGAGGTTCAGTGGTCTGCTATACGATAGGAAAACCACCAGGCATTGGAGAAAGGCCAGTTGATTCCTTCCTCAGTTTCTGTTCTTTTAAAGGCATTGTACCTTTTATTGTGAAGTGAAGATACTGTATGTAACAGACGTAAGCACGTGCTTTTCCCCTCGTTAGTGGTACTTCTCCCCATACCCAGGTAGGATCTCATTCTTTCATCCCAGAAGTTATAACTGCTGGGATGGTTACTTTTAGAGGCCAACCTGAGTGGAGTAGGTGACACCAGGAGAGGTGGTGGAGCATTATTTCTAGGTGTGTCTGTTAAGAGTGTCTAGATGAGACTGACATGTCAGTGGAATGAGGGGGGGGGCGGAAATTCTGCCCTCCGTGTACGTAGACTTCCTCCAATCAGCTGAAGCTCCTGACAACAAAAATTCAGAGACAGACTTCTTTGACCTCTTTCTCCAGACCTCAAACAGTGCTCTTTTCCTGTCCTTAGCCTATCAAAACTCCAGATTCTCCATCCTTTGGACTCTAGGACTTAAATCAGCAATTGACAGCAACCCCCACCCCCCAATTCCCTTCCCCAAGTTGAATTTCTTATGCCTTTGGTTCTGATCTGAGAATTACAACATTAGCTTCATTAGTTCTGAGACTACTGGACTTGGAATGAACATTACTAACACCTGGAAAACATCCTTGTGGCCTGCTTCTGTAGACTAAAGACATTTGCATCTACCTGCCTAATTACCTTTAACAGGAGTAACACCTTTCATTCCACAAGTGGAGCTAAAAGAGTTAGAATGGAAATATGAGTAGAGCCCCCATGTTATTAGTGAGTTTCACTTGAAAGGTACAGAATGAGATCAGAGTAATTCTTTCTTTCATTTAGAATAAGGATAAGAAACTAGAAAGTCCTGGGCTTGGATGTAAGGTATGAGGAAAGGGAAGAAACAAACATGAGTTTGGCAAAACCAAAGATAAATTCCCTTACATGAGAATTTTGGCAAGGGCCAGATTGGTTGAGCATCTGTTTATAAAAATAAGCCAACAAAACAAATGAGCTCTGAAGTATGTTGTATCCTTAGGGGTATGTGCACCTTGTTGCAATAGTGTTGGCAACTTTTATGCCTAAAATACAAATGACTGAATGAATAAAAACTTTTGACTAAATTATAATTGTTAACTAACTTACCTGCGGCATAAATGAAACCAGGAAACCTATTATCAAAATCAAAAACTCAAACTCACTTAGAAAAAAATTCTCAATTAAGTCAATGAATAAAAAAGAATCTAGGGGTGATTAAGTTGTTCATTCCAACAGAGACCAATGCACACTCATAACTGCTCGGGCTGAGGCTCTTGGGTACTTACAGGTTTTCTATAGAGCACTTGTATATTTTTCCTCACTCCTCTAAAAGACTTTATGAAGAACATGCTATTCATATTTCACATACTTTAGGACAATGTTTAGAAGTATTGGCTAAGCCTATTCAATGCCTACATAGCTTTTCTTATTGTCTAGATCTGAATTCATAATCTTAAATATTATAGCATACAGTTCATAAACTCAGTCATCTATTTCATTTCTCACTAAATCTCTACAGAGCCTAAATAAAGCATTTGTTTCAAAGACTTATTAAAGTTTCAGAGATCATAAGGTTAAAAAAAATCTTTTAAGATGAGCTGGGTGCTGGTGGCTTATGCCTATAAGTCTTAGCTCAGTCAGGAGGCTGAGATCTGAGGATCATGGTTCAAAGCCAGCTCAGGCAGAAAAGTCTCCATAAGACTCTTATCTCCAATTAGCCACTCAAAAATTGGAAGTGTCACTGTGGCTCAAAGTGGTAGAGTGATCACCTTGAGCACAGAGAGGCTCAAGGGACAGCACTTAGGCCCCAAGTTCAAGCCCCATGATGCACAAAACCAAAACCAAAACCAAAACAACCATTTAAGATGACTGAGAAATAGTAAAAGTGTTCTAGTTGATGATGAAAAAATTTAAACTAAGTGGACATGGAAACAGTTCTAAAGTGTGTTGCTTCTCATTGTTCAAGATGCAGTGTTACTCATAAGCTGACATGCTGAATTCAAACCCCTTTGAACAACTACTTAAAGGTATTTTTTTAAAAAGTTGTCACTTCAGGCTTACTTTGACTTGGGGATAGGACTTTTTGTTCTTCTCACTAGATGCGCCTGGAAGTCCGCCGTGGGAGGGGCCTTCACATACATAACGGAAACGAAATCCTCTCTGCAAAGGTGAACACAGACCCAGTAAGGTGGAGAAATACATATTAACAATGATAGCGATAAAATTATATTCAAATGTATAATTTCTAGGTGAAGTAGATAAGAGATAGAGCACATAGGAGACTGTGAAAGGTACTCTGGAAATGAAAATTACTGTCCGCAAATGATCAGGAACTGCTACTTGTGTGCTGAGCTGTGTCTGAGAAGCCACACATGCAAGCCTGCAGTAGCTCTTCTGCAAGACGCAAGTCTGAGCCTTTGGATGCGATGTGTTACGGCTTGTCTGAATTGGAGCTCCCTCCTCTCAAATTGCTGTTGCTAAGCCCTGAACGTTGGTTGACTGGTAGAAGTTCTGTTTTTCTACCTGCTACTCAGAGGAATTCCTCTCTTTTCTCTTATGGCAGGAGTTGTTCCCCCCCACCTCCTCCCCCAATACTTTGCCATCTGTTACACCAGACATCTGATGGGCCTCTTAGTTCAAAGGATAAAGCCTTTCATTTTTGAGTTATTGATGTAATTGAGCTCAAGCTTGAAGACTAACTGGCCTGAAGGAATCCAAAACCAGATAGTTCTTTTTGTTTCTTTTTTTTTTTTTTTTAATCTGATCCAGGAATTTTACAGCTGTTAGTAACCAATGACGTTAACTACATGAACCATTATAAACCAATCAATACCCAAGTGCTATGTTTTGTTACCTATCCACATGGGACAATTATACCAGACTATCTTTAAGGTTTATTCTAGTTCTAACTATTTGGAGTGAATTTAATTATAATCCAATCATATAATTATGCATATCTGTAGACAAAGAATACTGCATAAACAATTATGCAAATTAAGGGAGCTCATCATATTAAGGGCACTTCTGCTGTATTTTCTGAATCATTTAACTTTATAATGATGCCAATTTGTGGTAGTACTCATAGTTTATAACTAAACCATCACTTAACTGGATGTTTTTTTTTTCTTTTCACCTCAGGGTGAAAAGAACAATATGCTCACATATTTTTAAGAAACAACCTCACCTTCCATTTATTTCTAGTGTGGGCTAGACTTCATAGAACCAGCATTAGATCACTAGACTATTGTGAACATCCCATAACCACTAATTGCTGGTGAGGGGTTTCTACTTTACAACCTCAAACACATAAAACTCCAGAGGACACAACGGTTTTAATTGCTTTGAGCTCATGCACCAATGTAAAACACTTGCCATCTTAGATTTTGCTGTATTTCATTAGGCCTGGTAAGGATATTTTTAAATTTTATTTTATTGTAAAGATGTTGTATAGAGGAGTTGTAGTTACATGAGTAAAGTAATGAGTACATTTCTTGTTGAGCACTGCTACCCCCTCCCTGGTAAGGATTTTATCTCTGAGTTGGCTCAGTGCTATGAACTCATTTAAATCTCTGTGACTGTCTCTGTATTCTCTAAGGACTTCCTGATTTCCAAAGAAGATTGTCCTAAAGCACATTTCACTGGGTGAGAAAGCCCTGAGGTCAATTCCCCAGCATGAGAAATTTCTTCAAGGCAAGCACAGATCCACAGTGTAGGTGAAACTCATTTAAAAAAAAAATCTAAAAAACTGAAAAGAGCTCCACAGGGAACTCCAAACCTGGATGTCACATGATCTTCTGAAGGGAGGTAAAAAAATTTTAAACAATTCTTCTGTTTTGCTTTTTACAAAATTCAAATTAAAACAATTAAGTTACAAAATCAGCTCAGTATCTTTTATAAGCAATGGTTGATGGTTTATTTTTAACAGTAAGTGAAGTTTCTAAGAACATCAAAAAACAAAAGCATGTTCAAGAGCCAGCTTCTAGCAAGAGCTAAGCATCAAAATGAGACTTACTTGACTGCAAATCAATTCAAACACATTTCATTAAGACAGTATCAGCATGCAACAGATGGAATATATAAAAGAATATAATATGATGCATCTCTCTCAAAGCTGGGGAAGTCTATGCTAAAAAGGCCCCTAAGAAAAAAGACATTTTTCCCCTAACTTAATTAATACCAAACTCCTTTGGGGCAGTTGGAAAAATATACACGTGTATAGTTTTACATCTTATGGAGATTGGTGTCAAATAAAAAGTAAATAGGCATGTGTTAAATGGTGTGCTTACAGTGTGTAAAACAATGTATATCATTGCATTATTATTGGTTGAATTTGCATCTGATGTTCTACACGAAGTCATTCTGACTCCGAAGTCAAATCCTTTTTTCAAGAAGATGCGATACCTTCAAATACTTCTGATTTGAGTTTTCCTGAGATTAAAAGTTTGCTAATCCATAGTCATTCATCTCAGTAACTCCATTTGCTTAAAATCAATCATCAACTCCAAAGGCAAGTCTACCTCTTTCTAGTCAGAAAGTCTGACTTAAGGGCTGGGAAGGTGGCTCAGTGGAGCGTTTGCCTTGCATGCATAAGACCCTGGGTTCGATTCTTCAGCATCACATAAGCAGAAAAGAAAAAGCTGGAAGTGGCACTGTGGCTCAAGTGGTAGAGTGCTATCCTTGAGCTGAAGAGTTGAGGGACAGCGCCCAAACCCAGATTTCAGGCCCCACGACTTGACCCCCCAAAAAAGAAAGTCTGACTTAAATACAGCCATATTACTTTCACTGAAGTCACACATCAAAATAAGACTAGCTTGGAAAACAAACATACTGTTTTACTCATGTAAATTTTTAATGTGTTCATACATAATGAATTAAGTTTTGAATTCTTGAACTACCTGAAAGTAATCTTTCAGGTAAATCATAAATGAATGTCAGTTTTTCATTATGACTTTTTGGGTCGAGGATAAGGACTTGCTTGTTAAAATTCTTATTATGTTTATTTAAAAAACACACGTATTTAAAAAATACAGGTGCAGACACATTTTTAGTTGACTTATCAGTTTCATGGATATTTACAAGCTAGGGAATTTTCCAGGATGCCAGATTATTGCATAGAGAATTTCAGGAAGCAGAACTCCATCGGGATGATCTTTGAGAGAACTGATAAATTCATGAGAGAAATCCTCCCTACAGAGTTGGTCATAGAAATGAAGCAAAGGAAAGTGTGGTCAGGATGAGCCTCTTTTGAGCAACTGCAATAGTGCCCTGATTCTCATGTGGAATTTTTGTCCATACAACAAAAACTTGGGTCTAATTTCTACCTTATCAACATAACCTGGTCATCATTCAGACACCCCTATTCTTTAAGTGTTGACCAAATCTATTGCATGACATGACTCTGGGAACCTCCCTGCAGTGATGGCATTGAATTTCTTCAGCACTTGGTTAATGCTTCCCCAATACAAAAGGGTCTAAAGATGCACACATCTGAGTTACTCACCATTACATAAGCAACACACATTGCAAGCGGAAAGATACGCATAGCTTCAGCCTCACACAGGTGGGGTAAGCCCATCCATTTGCAGTGTAGTGACTGTTCATATTCTGTCAGATGCTACTGAAATGTCCAATAGACGGATAATAAAAATTTTTCTTTCCTCCTCTTTTACAGCACTTGACTCAAGCAGCATCTAATGAATATTTGTTTATCCAGAGTTGGGGAATGGCTTTAGGCCATTTTAATTCTGTTTTGGGGCTGGTCCTGGGGCTTGAACTCAGAGCCTGACCTCTGTCCCTGAGCTTTTTTTGCTCAGGGCTAGTGTTCTACCATTGGAGACACAGCACCACTTCTGGCCTTTTCTGAGTAGGTTATTCGAGATAAGAATCTCACAGACTTGCTACCCAGAGTGGCTTCGAACCTAAATCCTCAGATCTCCACCTCTTGAGTGGCTAGGATTACTTTAATTCTGAGCTATATTCTACAGAATCCAGTGGGAAGAAAGAGATATACTTCTCTCCTTGTTCTGGCAAGGGTGAGTCTAACGCTAACACCAGAAGGAAGATTATTCAACTACAAACACATGGAGTGTTTGCACTGTCTTAGGCAACATATTTCACCAAACAGAAAATACTGGAGTGGGTGAGGAAGGAGGAAAGTCAGGAAGTCATAGGTGAGAGTGGGCATGACCAATGGATAAAGCTCAGTGAATAGGAACTGCATGCATGCATATTTCCTTTGTAAAGAAAATGCATGGAAATAACCTGAGTCTTTCCTGGGAATGGCTGATAAGCTAAGCCAGCAGAGATAGCACAATAACCAGGGATCTATAATTAACTGGAGTTTCACAGAACTGTGTACCAAAGCTCAAGACCATTTGAAGAATGACTAAGACATGTAAAGTAGATGAACACAGTTATTATGTAATTTGGCAGGCTGATCATCACTCAGATAAGCTATTTCCGTCATAAAATTTATTTACTATTATTCAAAGTTTGATGTCTTGATGTTTTGTAAGTGTAGGGATCCGAGAATGCAAAAAAAAAAAAAAACCAACACAAACACAAAATTCCCATCCCTTTAGACTTCTTACCTGTTTAGGTTGTTCTAATATTTGAAGGAATGGGCCATCTAAAACAAAACAACAAACAGAAATCAAAAGAAACTGTGAAGATTCTCAAAATCATTATTTTGTTTTGTTTTTTTAAAAAAGGTAAAGCAAGTAAAAGACTGAAAGTATGTTGTTAAATTGGGGTTTCAAATCAATTTTCTAGCTGAAGTTCCCCAAGTATAGAATTCCTTTTCCTCCTTTGAAATGTTAAATTTACTCTTGTTCGTTAAACAATAGCTTTCTTTACAGTTTAGAGGACCACAACAAGTCAATGTTGGTTGAGTGCTGATGGTACATTGCCTAGACCACCACAGGCAGAGGCGAGAATTAGTGCCAACAGCCTTCACAATCTTGTCTCCCAACAGAGTACTTTTCAGGGCAACACATATACCAACAATGAGCAGCGAGCACTTCCCGAGTGTTAAGACAGTTCCCTTTGCCTTCCCTCTCCACAGAGAATGTGCTCTGGGTGAAATTAAGAGAGATGGAGCTAGCAACCTGCCACGGGGGAGACACAAATAAAGAGCCCACGCTGCCTGCTTCTCTCTGCACTAAGGTTTCTGTTCTTTTCCCTTACTGAGTCAAGTAAATATCACCTTTATAATAATAATTCCACCTGGTCTTTTCTTATTAAATCATCGCCTTTTATTTTCTGTAAAAGTTCTGAATATTGTGTTCCTAGATAAAGACTGCCCTAAAACAGCACATGCAAAGGACACTAACTTAATAAAAATTAAATCTACAGCAAATATAAATAGTACAAAGACTTTTAAAATAAAATTCTGCAAAGAATTTAACTGAACACAAGTACATGCCAATTCATTATTGTAAAAACATAAAGCAAGGGAGAAGGTAAATCTACATCAAAAGGAAAATCAGGAACTCTGACAGGATAAATATTAATATGTTTACTATGAGGAAGTCCCTAAGCACATTAGTGGTTTTCATGTCAAATATACCATAATCCACAGGTCTGAAATAAAGAAAGCTCTTCCCATTTGAATCTTGCTTGTTTTCTAGCTTACTAGAACTTACTTGAGGTGGATAAATTTGTAAAGAAGAGATAAAACTTGAGGTTAGAATTTAAAAGAAACTGTAAGTTAGAGTAGAATTTTATCAATTCATTTATCATGATGAACCAAGATATATTAGAGAACAACAGGCAACAAAGTTAAAATTATTTCCTATTATTCAAGAATATACCAGGAGGTCAGTTGGAAAGTCTAAAGTGAAACATAGAAGAGAAAGGAAAAATGGAATATCAGTGGCCAAGTAGTATGTAGTTAATTATATTTTCTTCTGTATTAAATTCATCCTTAGGCATTCATTTTTGAGGGAAAGTAAACAGGTTTAAACTTAAGGACTCAAATTTGCTCAGCTGGTCTTCTAACATTTGAACCATACCTCTAGCCAAGTATTTTGCTGATCAATTGGAGATAGAGTCTCATGAACTTTTCTGCCTGGGCTGATTTTGGACTACGATACTCACATCTTAGCCTTCTGAGTAGCTGAGATTATAGGTATGAGCCATCTTTGGACATTTTTTGTGTGTGTGTGTGTATGCGTTCATGCTTGTGTGTGTATTTGCCTGCCAAACCTGGGGCTTGAATGCAGGGCCTGAGCACTGTTCCTGAGCTTCTTTTTGCTCAAGGCTAGCAGTCTACTACTTGAGCCACAGCTCAACTTCCAGCTGTTTCTGAGTAGTTTATTGGAGATAAGAGTACTACAGACTCTCTTGCCTGAATTGGCTCCAAACTGTGACCCTGAGATCTCAGCCTCCTGGAGTAGTGAGGATTACATGCATGAGCCACCAGTGCCCAGGTCATCTTAGGACATTTTAAGGTACTTTTATAAGTAACTATAATATTAAAATGAGAAAAACCTCTAATTAAAAATTTTACTTTAATTTTCACTAAGGATATATATATAGAGAAAGAGAGAGAGGAGGGGGGGAGGGAGGAAGAGAGAGGGAGAGAGAGGGAGAGAGAGAGAGGGAGAGAGAGAGAGAGAGAGAGAGACAGAGAGAGAGAGAGCAAGCAAGAGCATGTTTGGCAATAGAATATAGAAACATTTCATCCAGAATTCTAAAAGAACACATCAAGAAGATAGTCCTGTAAAAAAAGCAATATATGGAGAAAACTTTATGGAAAATACAGGGGAGAGAAAACACTGACAGTAAACCTTAATTTCTCTATTCTTACTCTTTTAGCAATAGTTGCCTTTTGGGTATCATTTTTTTTTCTGTAGGACTTAAGTATGTGAAATTCCTCATGAAACAGAACCATCTTTCTCTTGCAAAACACATATTCAAGGTTAAATTACCTAGAAAATTCGATTTGATATGGATGTATTTGTTTTGAGGCCAACTTTCATTCGGCCCCATTTCTGGGCCATGAAAATGATATCCCACTATGCAGAGCGTGACGTTAATGCATAGTGTTACAGCCTAGCATCTATACTATATCCCATATTGCTTTCAACTCATCATATGCCGGCTATTGGTCTTACATTCCAACAAATCTGAAAGAAAAATCCACATGAAAATTACACTTTACTAGTGGCTTACACAACCTCCCTACTTCTTTAGAATCTGCATAAAACATCCCATGTATCGTGGTGTATATAAAACGGACTATGGCATCACCACTAAAGGTGAAAATCATAGACACAAAAATACGTTGGGGGAGATTACAGGTAGAAAATAAGATGCTTAGGTATACTTTCAAGGGTTTTTTTTTTTTTAAATGATAAGGTAAGACACTTCCTACAACACGCAGCTGTGACCACAGAATATTGATGGTTCTTCTGATAATCTCATTTCTACGCCTATAAATGTAAAGAAAAAGAAAATGTGTAGAAACAAAATTTGCCTCAGGACCCTGTTTGGTATCCACATGAAATAGAAAAAAATGTGTATTTCCTATGGGTGGAACTGAAATAGAAAAAATGTGTATTTCCTATGGGTGGAACTGAGTTCTTATTTTATTATTATTATTATTATTTTCAACTCAGCATGAATACTAACAAAAGTGCTTGGAACCTTAGAATTAAAAAAGTTCACAGCAAACACAAATGCCCCTAGCACAAATGCCCCTTCTTCACAGGAAGGTAACCCAGGGCTCTCACAGGGCAGGGTTCACCCAGCCTCAGATAAACGCTAGCCCAGAAACAAGGGCTGTGTGGGCAGGACAGAAAGGCAGGCCACTGTGATGACCTGCGGCTGCTGAAGGTGGATGTGGGCAGATGCAGTTTCTCCCCTCCCAGGACCTCTGGAAACACTAACCATGTGCATGCAGAAAAACATTCTGCTATCAGCCGTGAAAGGTAAGAGCCAGCATGCCACAGGTCATTCTAAATGAGAATTAGAAGAGGAGGGACAGTCTCCCAGGAGATAGGCAAGTAAATCCACAGTGAACTGAACTCCTGTTGTCAACTCTGACCCTGGTTTCGACATCTCTCTGTAAGTCGCCAGCATTGCTTCTGTAAGTTCCCAGCCAATATATCAATCAATTGAAAAAGAGGCTAGATAAGTTCAATTGTCAATACAAGATTAAGCAATCTGGGGATCCCTATGGAAAGTTTTATCTCATTGCTCAGAATGCAAAGCTAAAAGCTTTTATTTATTTATTTTGTACTGGAATTTGACCTCAGGGCTTCATGCTTCCTAGACAGATGATCTATTGCTTGAGCCATGCCCCCAGCTCTTTTTTTTGCTTTTGTTATTTTTCAGATAGGCTTTCACTTTTTCTTAGAGTCAACTTTGAACCATGATCCTCCTACTTAGACTTCTTGTTCATGGGAATGATAGAAGTGAACCACCCTATCCAGCCTGTTTATTGAGATCTGTTTATTGAGATAGTGTCACTACCTTTTTGTGCTTGCCTCAAACCACGATCCTCCCAATCTCTAGCTATTGAATAGCTGGGATTACAGATGTGTATCACCACACCCATTATATAAAGGCTCTTAAAAAAAAAGATGATATTGATGATTTTTTTTTACACTATTGGTCTGATGCTAAGTATATTGGCCGGCCACAACAGGCCTGCAGATAAATGTTTCTGGAACAGACTAAGAAGTTCACGCTGGTTTGCACACATATGGAAAATAGCAGAGAGGAACTTAAAAAGAACTCAGAGGTAGTACAACTGGAAAAAAAAGAAAATGCTTGTCTTGAATAAAGAAACTGCTACTGAGTTGTTCTGCCAGACATTAACCCCTGTTACTAAAAAGGATGAGGGGTGTAAAACATTTTTTTGTTCGAATACTTTTCAAGAAAGTATATTGAAAGACTGATATTTAGAACATGAACCACCATTTCCTTCTTATGTACATTCCTGAACTTCTAGAAGGTACTATTGGCAAATCCTGAGTATTTTTAAAAACTTGACAACAAGAGGCCAAAGGGATAGTTTTCTTACCTGTTGACAGTGGCATCTCAGGTGGAAATAATTCTGTGTTAAACATTGTATGTGATAAAGTATTCAAATGAAAGATCTGCAAAGGAGAACAGTGAAATCTCTTAGTCATTGCTTTTACACCATATAAAAATGTGAAGTCTGAACACCTAATAACTAGTTGCAAGAAGGAAAACTACTTTTTTTTTTTTGAGACAAAGACAAAACCCTACAAATCGGATTCATGAAATTAAGATTTTAAAATTCCCATGGGAGACTTGGTTAAGTCTCATGTGCATGGGGTTTATGTTAGGAGAGACTTAGAGATGATCAAGAAGGTGAAGTCACCAAGAGCAAGGGCCTGGGGTGGTGTGCTTACTAACACACCTTCCAGGACAAGTACATACTCAGAATAGAGTAGATGCTAAACAAATACTGAGTGAATGCATGATTTGAGGTACATACTCTCTTAGATCTATATAAAAAGAATCCTACAAATATATTGTTCTTGGGGCTGGGAAGGTGGCTCAGTGGTAGAGTACTTGTCTTGCATGCTTGAGGCCCTGAGTTCAATTCCTCAGCACCACATAAGCAGAAAAAACTGGAAGTGGCGCTGTGGCTCAAGTGGTAGAGTACTAGACTTGAGCTGAAGAGCTGAGGGACAGCACCCAGGCCCAGAGTTCAGGCCCCACGACCGATAAAACAAACAAAACAAATATATTGTTCTTTTTTTAGTGGTAAATGTATTTCTAGTCTGGATATACCAGATTATGTATCCCTAATCCAGCTTCAAGGCCTATAAGTATTTAATTGACAGTCCACAGAGCAGATAACTGAGCACTGAGCTCACTCATTTATATTTTCACCTCTCTTTTCCTATCACGTTGCAAAATACCTAGAACTTGGTGGTGGCAGTGTTAGATTGAACAATGGTCTCCTAAAATGTGGATAGCCCAGATCTCAGAATTTAGGAATGCTACTAAGACAGCAAAGACAATTTTTCATATATTATTAAGGAAAAGATCCTAAAGTAAGAGATTACTCTGGATTGCCTTAGAGGGATAGGATAAAAGAGATTTAGGAAATCAGTAATATGGAAGCAAGAGGCTGGAGTGGGGGTTGGGTTCACAGCCAAGGACTATAGGCAGCTCTCTCTACAAGTTCAAATAAGCAAGAAATGAGAGCCACCAGGAGAGCGGTCCTGACAACACCCTGATTTTAGAATTCTGACATCTAGACTATAAGAGGGGAGTCTATGTTGTTAATAAGTTCCAAGTTTGCAGTAATTTGTTATAGCACCAACAGAAAAATAAGACAGAAAACTAAAGCAGTAGGCAAGCAATATATTCGGATAGAATTAAACTCTAGCTTAAGAAGGTAACATTTATTATTCCAAAAGAATTTTTTCCCCATTTAGGTCATTTAGGACTTTAATTCATATTTCTGATCTTACCATTTCTTTTATCCTATCTGTTTGAAATGCTTGTTGGCAGCACAGAACCTGACAATATTTCAAGTTGTTTATGTTTTGGGCTTTTCTTTTTTTTGGATAGGCTAGTATGTGTGCTAGAAGACAGTTTACTATATTAAAATATACTTTATTTTTAATCACCAACATGGCCTCCTGTCCTTATTAGGAAGGAGGTTCTTGGTCTCTTAAGAACCTAGTATCTGAGGATCATGGTTCAAACCCAACTCGGGCAAGGAAAGTACATGCGACTCTTATCTCCAATTGACCACCAGAAAACTGGAAGTGGCACTGTGGCTCAAGTGATAGAGTGCTCACCTTGAGCTGAAGAGCTCAGGGACAGTGCTCAGGCCCAGAGTTCAAACCCCACAACTGACCAAAAAAAAGAACCTAGTATTTCTAGTTCAATCAAGAGGAAGAAAGGGTTGGGGCACTGGTGACTCACACCTGTAATCCGAGCTACTCAGGAAGCTGAGATCTGAAGATCAAGGTTTGAATCCCACCCAGGCAAAAAAGTCCTTAAGACTCTTAATTCCATTTAACCATCAAAAAGCCTTAAGTGGAGCTGTAGCTCAAGTGTCAAAATGATAACCTACAGTGGAAGAGACAAGCAAGGACTTGAGAAACTTAGTTCAAACCCCAGGACTGGCACCAAATGGGGGGGGGGGTGGGCAGAAAAGAACACTATGTTTAAATGAAGAACATTTAAACATTTCGGCTCCAGATCAATAACTAATTCATAAAAAAATGTGCTCCATTCCAGTGTTCAACAATAAATAAGGCTCATTAACACGGCTGTTAATCATTTAACTGCGAAGGAAATGAAGAAATTAGAAAATACATTCCACAACAATGTGCCCCATGGTACACAGACATCTACCAGTGTCAGCTCAGAAAGGCTAATGAAGAAGGAAAAGAGCTCCTGTATTTCCTGTGGCCCTGCAGTAGTTACAACGACCATCCGGAGGCCTAAGTGCCAGCGCTCAGGTGCTGTGTTGCCTCGTGCTGAAGGTTAATGCTTTTTTACTAGGACAGGGCAGGAGAACAAAGTCTAGCACACACCAAACTCTGAGGATGTCTTTAAACCTCAAGATAGGGGATTACAAAAACTTCAAGGACCTCTTAAAAATGGAAATAGCAGAACACACTTCACCCCTGTTACTGCTGAGCAAAAATGGCCCACATAAGAAACTTTCAGAATGAATGTCTTCAGCAGGTTTTCCTCTGGTGTGGCAGAAAGGGCCATCTCCGGTTGATAAGATTTCCTGTGTGTAGACAGCAAAGCGTGGTGTAAAACCAAGCCGAAACACCCCTCATGTTGGTTACAGTTGGCCTTTAAATGGTTAGATATAGTGTATTAAAAGTGAAAGGTAAAACAAAGGGTTTTGATAATGTCTCGCACTCTGCAATCAAAGAAAATGTCCCTAGATGAATCCAGTATCACCACTTTTTATAACAAACTTGCAAAGGAGCATCATCATGTGAGAAGTAATGCATATTCATTCTTTTCAAGTCAATCAGACTATTACACAGTTCTTATGCCTTTTGTTTATTTATTTATTTATTTTTGTGCCAGTTCTGAAGCTTGAAGCCACGGCCTGGCACCATTCCTGAGCTTTCTTGCTCAAGGCTATTACTCTACCATTTGAGCCATAGCTCTGTTTCTGGCTTTTTTTGGTAGCTCATTGGAGATGAGTCTCACGGACTTGCTTTCCCAGATTAGCTTCAGACTGTTATCTTCAGGTCTCAGCCTCTTGAATAGCTAGGATTACAGGCATGAGCTATTGGTGCCAGCTTTCTTGATTTAGTTATAGCAACATCAGACTCCCTAAAAGACTTGAATTTCAGCTTTCTCTGAGGGTGGGGAATGGAAAGAGTCTGGATGATTTTTTTGGTATGAATATATTTGATAATTCTGTTGTTTCACATGGTGGCCACCAAAATTTACATGCAAAATGATTTTTATCATGAATCTTGGACTGGATATCAGGGTAGGTCCTATTCCCTTTCTTTGATAGGCCTAGCAAAGTATGTCTTTCAAATCTCAGCTTACCTAGAATTCTTTTGGGAAGTCCTTCCTAACGCTGCTCTTCTCCTCCAGATAGCAACTAGTAATTTCTCTCAACATTTCTGTGCAGGCCACTACCATAGCTTTCTATTACCATATGGAAAAATTATGTTTCTGCCTCTTCAACTTGAAAGGCAGCATCCTGAAATTAGAGACTTTGTATGGCTTATTCTGGACCACTACCTTGCTAATATTCTGCTAGCTAATTATACTATGGATGAAACAGCTATGGAATGACCATTTGTCAAAATTATTATATTCCAACTTTAGTATTGCCATTGTAATCACTTTGAAAGCTGTTTTCTAGTGGCTCTCTGAATACATATATAGAGAGAAGAAGAAAAAGAAACAACATGTTAATTGCCAACAGGGATTTGTTAGTCTATTCAACATTTCCATAGACTTGGGTTGGTTTTTTTTTTTTTTTCAAGTAAAAAACTAGGAAGAGCTGGATACCAACAGTGACTCAACTCGTAATCCTGGCTACTCCAGAGGCTGATACCTGTAAGACCAAAGTTCAAAGCTAGCTCATGCTAGCAGGGTCTACAAAACTTAATCTCTAATTAACCAGCAAAAATACTGGGCAGGAGCCATTGCTCAAATGGTAGAGCACCAGACCAATGAAGAATCTGAATCACCTTGAATTTAAGCCCAAATCGCAAAGGGGAGAGAAAAGAAAGGACCTCAGTATCCCTTCATAACTGCAACTTATTAAAATAATAGCAATTTAATGCTCACAAAGCACATTCATCACCCATGTAGTCATTTTAAGCCCCTGTGTATGTGAAGCTCACACTTGTATTTTGTGAGAAAAACAGGCTGAGGGGACTCAAGCTGGAAGAGCTGATCAGTAGCAATCAGTGTTTGTATAACTACCTCGGAATTCCAAGTTCTCGAGTCTTGTCACCATCCCAACATGCCAATCTGCCTCCTCATTAGAAAGAGCTACAAGTAACCATTTTAAGGGGCTGTACTGAGTCATCGATGTTCCTTTTTAAACAGATGCTTACAAATGGGACTTTGGAAATAATACTCTTTACAAGATAAGATGAAATCACATTAGATGAGGGTGGGCCAATGCCTGATGCCTTTAGATAAAGAAAGAGAAGAGCTTTGCTGTGGACACGCAGGAGACACCAGGGAAGAAGGAAATCATACAACAGAGTCTGACACGGGAGTGATGCAGCTACAAGCCCAGGGATGCCAAGCATTGCCAGCCACCGCTTGAAGCTATGCAAGAGGAATGGAAACTGCCCCTTGGCAACCCATTCAATATCACCTTAATATCAGCTTCTTCTCTGTAGGGCTGCTTCCAGCCACAGAAATGTAGGAATTTGTTACAGCAGCCCCAGGAAGCGAACACAGTGGCTCTCATTTGACCTGTGGTTTATACAATTTTCACGCAATAATGTGTGTGATGGGGTTTTAGTTCCTCCTTTTTCTGTGACCGTGTCCTTTTCAACTTCACTTGTAGGAACAGGAAAAAATGGGAGAAAAAAAATCCTAAAGCTTTTTATAAAGCTAATTTTAGAGCTCTCCTAATCCTGAGTTACTAGTACATTATCTGAATATCTTGCAATATTAATACATTTGAATAAAACTATCCATGGGTGATAGCACTTACTTGTCCAGTCCCTCCGTATGGATTGTCTTCAGCCATTCTGGAGCTGTGTATGAAAACAAAACAAAACTGTAACTTTGGAATGATCCTTAAATATACTATTACCACAGAATTCACGTACAAGTAAATGGTGTTATGCTAGTTAAGATCAAACGCAGTCCTTTTTTAAATAGACCTTAGAAAGGAGAACATGGTACAGTTCCTCTTTGGCACCTAAAGCTAACAGCAGGGAGATTGCACAATCAAGGAATTACCAATTACTTATGATCCAAAACTCCTATGCTTAACTCAGACAGTACTCTGAGCTGGGCACAACTAGTCCTTATTCTCTGTTTGAAAATTACGTGCAATTAGATTCTTGAGGCCATTGCTTCTCATCACCCTCAAAGCATGAAGGACTGACAGTCTATGTGAAAAACCCTTATTGTTAGAAAATCACAGGCGCCCAAACTTCCATGAAAACATTTAAAACCATTTTTATTGAGTTTAGGTTTTCCATTAAACTGATGTGATTTCCTTTTCCCCTCCTTCTTAGCCCACAGTCTTCCAAAATGAGACTTAGGATGGAAGTCACTCAGTATCTGTACGTCACTGTTTGCACGTGTAGTAACACTGGATGGTTTTGTAGACCGTTAAGTGTAGGGATTTAACATAAAGTTGCTCTCACTAGGATTTAAAAACTCAACTAAACTACCTTTATTAGGTTGGATACAAAGTTATTATCATGAGCCAGTGCTGTAGACAAGCCTGACGAGAGGTCTCTAAATTGTAGCAGGGACAAACAATCTTTACTTCAGTAACACCATTCCCCTAAGAGTTCCACACCCATGTGCATCTAAAAAAAGGTTTTTACAATTTGTTAGAGGCTAAGGAACATGGTAAGTGGTTAAAATTGGAACCTGTATACACTTGGTGTGACTGAAGAGTTGAGGGGGTAACTCTAGTGTGATGTCAATGGTAATCTATAATTCAAAAAAATGAAATGTCAAAAGAAACCAAGAATCATTTGGAAAGTGTGAATCACTGAGTAATATTTGCATTCATTGTAAAAAGCATGTTTTATTTCTGCAGTATTGAAATACCCACTGAGCATTTGGAACTAGAGGATAAGAAATGAGCAGGGAAAGCCCCTTCCTCCCCCCACTTACTCCCCAATTACCCCAGCTCTTCCCTTCACTTTCTTTTTGTTCAGTTCTGTGCTTTTGAGGAAGGACTTTGAGACAGAGAAGGAGCTACTGCATTAATTGGGGAGTAAATTGGGTCTATTCTCTTCATCTCTCTCCTCCCCAAGAGACAGGTTTTCAGGCCATGGAAAGACAAAGATAAAACATAGCTAGTTCGCCTCGATTAAAATATCCAGTGAACTGTGTTTTTCACTTGAAATCATAACATTACAACCAGACTAGTTTTGGATAGTTGATGTTCTATGAAATGCCAGATGTGCTATTTTCTACACTCCGATGATAATCCCCTTACCAACACCCAAGTCTGGCACATGAAGTTCTTGGTGAAAACAGCTAGACCAAGCAGATCATCTTCAACGCCATGAAGGGTTAGCCTCTGGTGAACCATTAAGGATTGAGTTAGGGACTCAAGGGAACACTTAGATCAGAGATGTGTTCTTTTCTTTTCTCCTCCTCCTCCTCCTTCTCCTCCTCCTCCTCTTCCTACTTCCTCTTTATTTTTTACCATGACCCACAGTAAAAAAAAATATAATATTTCTATTAGAGAGATTTCATGTATGAAAAATTCTAACTTTTCAATCTCATGAAAATGATTTTATGGCTCACTGAAGATCAAAATTAATAGTCTGAAAAACACAATTTCAGGTTTTCTCAAGAGGGTATGGTTAGGAAGCAAGGATGAAGTGTCTCTCTTTCCAAGATTGTATATAACTACCGCAGGCATATACTTAGGTGCAATTGTATTGTTTTTAATTGTTATTATACAGGTGATGTACACAGAGGCTCCCACTGCATGAGGTAGGCATTTCTTTTTGGACAATGTTGCCCCTTCTCTCACTTTTCTTCTACCCCCCCTTTTTTTCTTCCTGTCCCCAATAGGTATAATTTGATTACTTCATCTAATACTAGGAGTAATAAAACTCCAAGGAAAGAGTAACTTTCACCACTTTTCTTTCATAGAATACATCAAATAAAAATACACTCAAACTTTTCATAGAGAAAAGCTGTGGAAGAAACATTACAGAAGAAAGAGGAATGGAAACTACGCAAAGGAAGAGTAACTTTTGCTCCTCAGACTCTATTTTCAGGAATTTGGGTGGAAGAATAAGCAGCAGGTGGGAGCTGTATCTCAGTAGTAATTGGTACAGTGCTTACTGACTGATCCTCCACACCACAAGAAATAAATAAATTACCTGAGCAAGTGTGCAAAAAATAGAAAAACCTAGAACCAATCTAAATGCCTCTGACAGAAAGAATATCATGACAAATATTAAATATTATCCACGTGTCAAAAATTGTAAGTAAATCAGAGTCTAAAAGTGAATAAAGAGGGAAGAGTTCCAGAATGTTCTTTCAGGTGCACTCAAGGTTTTCCATTACCTTTTTAGCATTCAATTTCTATAACTTTATAATACATGAATATCTTTTCCACCTCTATTTTGTTTCTTTTTAAAAATAAACTAAAGAAAAATGGTACTACTTCCTAACCAAAAAATTGTAAGTAAAAAATTGTTTACTGATATACATTTCTAACTAAAAGTTAAAAGATGTTTTGATACCATTCACAATAATGACAAGATAGTGAATAATAACACATGTATGATTCAATAAAAATTTCTAAGTACACCAGAATCCTCTTCATAAGAAAGACAGTAAGAAAAACCTTGAAAGTGGCTGCTTTCTTTCTCATCGTATATTACACTAGTGATGATGAATGTACTTTAGGCCTTTCTGCTGTTTTTAGAAGAGCAAGTTCTGAAAAAAACTGAAGAGGAATAAATATCTGTATGCTACTACCAGATTTGTATAAACTGACTTTTCCCTTTTCTCTCCTCCTCATTCCAGTTTTAATACTGTTTCACTAGGTACAGTGTGACTAATTAACATATAAAATAGCTGCCTAAGATAAATATGCTATGTTCAGGGCTGGCAAAGAGAAGGGGTCTAACAGAAATGGGCAGACACATAAAACAGTCAATTCCTTAACCCAACAATAATACACAGCAAGTGTAAGCCATCTTATTAGATAGCATAAGAAATAAGATGCTCAAAATAAACTACAGAAAAAAGAAGACAGAGAACCAATGTTTTAGGTATTCTGAGAAGAATCTGACATTGAGTTCTTTGTCAGTGACCATGGACAAGTACATTGCCACTTCCCTCGCTGAAGTAGTTATAGGTCACTATAACTAAATGTTTATATTTTGACCTCATGGGACATTTGGCAATGTCTAGAGTTGCTCTGGACTGACATACTGGGTGACGGTGACTTCTAGCATGCAGAAGCTAGAGATTAGAGATGCTCTGAACATCCTATAATACTAAGGACAGTCTCTGACAACAAAGAATTATGCAACCCCAGAAGTCAGTAATGCTGACATCAGGGGAGAAACCCCGACAAATGCCATTGCATCACTAGAGTGCATCGGTTCACATAAAGACTTGAACTTTAATCACCACCTCCCAAAAGAAGGTGGCTGCAGCCAGCACTCCATGTTTCCTTTGGTACCTTTCACAGGAGAAAGAGGAAAATTAAAGAGATTCTTTTCGAAGCATGTCTGTTACACACACACACACACACACACACACACACACACACACACACACTCTGATCATATGAACAAAGTATGAATACATTGAAAACTGCAATGCCTCACAGTATGTGCAGACCCATATCCTACACCACACATAAAATGTCTGAAATGTTACTCAAGTGCTTTGTCATTCACTAAAAACAAGTTAGACCTACAGTGTGTCGGTATGGAAGGATTCAAAGCATCCTGAGTGTGACATTGTCCCTAGACTCAGAGCTTACAGTTTGGTAGACTGGAAACAAGAGCCACAATTTCTCTTTATAAATTTTAGCCAACCAAAGGGGGGCGGGGAATCAATTTTCCATTAATTCTAGCAGGTTCATAATGAGCTGTGACCAACAGAATGAGGTAAAACTATGAATAATGAACACAGGAATTCTTTGTTTTTTGTTTTTAGAGAAACAATTTTTGTTATTCAGAGATGATTCCTGCTAATTTTTATTGTCAGTTTACTTACATTCCCTCTGATTATTTATATATGTATTTTTATTCTGAGAATGAGTTCATATGTGGCATTTTGCTATTTGCTCTTTAAAGTCAAGAACCTCTGCCTTTTTCTATGTATCTTATTTAACACTCAGTCCACAATCACATTTTCCCAACTGGTTAGATGGGCTTTAAGAACACTTAAATTTAAAAATGAATAAAACATTAAATCTTGATCTTTGACAAAAAGTTACTGTAAATATGTATTTGAATTGTTTTGATTCAGGAATTCTGTGGGAAGTTGGTCTTTTATTCTACATGGGGCACAGGTTTTTCAAAAGGCCTTGCAATGACTCTTCTTCTAGGCTAGCTTACTAGTAGATGAGACACTGTGAAGCAGAGAGGACAGGGCTACCTAAAGCCAAAGAGCAGAGCAACGTAGCTCAGAGACTTATTTCACAGATCAGCCACTCCAGCTCAGACATGATCATATAAGCACAGACTTGTAAGAAATAATGCATGTCTATAGTTCTGTTTGCTTAGTAGGGACTTTTTTCCTTTATGCGGCAAGAACTAACTAATCCAACAATTTAGTACTCAGGAAGACAAATAGGCAAAAACAACGCAATCTTGTGTCTTGGAAAACGGAGGGTGTATAAGACATAGTTTAGTTATCTTGATAATTCAGCACAGTAATTACATTCCTAGTCATAGTCCTGTTGGCACTTATTTTCGTCTGTATTGATTTACTGAATTCCTATCTGAACAAAAGAAATACATACATTAACCCTCAAAATATTGTGGTATAGGCACAAAGTTAGAGCTATTAAAAATTTC